CAGGGCTGGTGGCTTCCTAGATAAGCTACTCCCAGCCAGAGCAACACTCTAGTATCCACCCCTTTTCCCTCCTCAACTACCTGCCCCAGGCCACCACCTGAAACCCTCTGTACCCCTTTCCCCCCCAGGTCACAACTGCCTCCCAGACCCTGCATCCCAGGCCAGAATCATCTCCTACACCCTTTTGGACTCTGCACCCCAACCTCTGCCCCAAATCACAATCCCCTCCTTTACCTAAACTCCCCTCAGACCCCACACTATTATACTTTAAATAATAACACTGGATCTTTTTTAGGGGGATAAGGCAAAATGCCACACTTACAGGTAATGTAACATTATTCTAGCGCATGCATATAGTGCACTTATACTCACATACTCATACATGCACACATACCCCGCCTTGTTGATGTTATAGTTACCAGTCTGTTGTTCACATCTAGTCACTGGCCAGGTGATTTGTCCCACATACTCATACATGCACACATACCCCGCCTTGTTGATGTTATAGTTACCAGTCTGTTGTTCACATCTAGTCACTGGCCAGGTGATTTGACGTGAGGAAATGGGGAGCAGGACTTCCAGTCTGGACTGGTGCTCCAAGCTTGACAAGACAAAACCCGAAGACCCATGCAAGACACCCCATATTTTATAGCACTTTTCTTCCATTGAGTTCTATGTGTTGTGCGAACTTAGCTTCTAATCAGTTTGTGTAACATCTGTTTAAGTGTGTGTGTGGTTTTTTTATTATTATTATTATTTATTATCAGCATTTCATGTTATCTATTTTAGTTAGGGATGCTTGCCTTTAACGTCAAGCCTGTTTGTCTGGTGATGAACAGTCTTTTACCCAGGGCCCATTAGATAGTGTCTTGGTGCTCCCGAGTCTTTTAACTCCCACTTTGGCCATTAGACACTGAGGTAACCTTAGAGTGTTCTCTCTCTCTCTCTCTCTCTCTCCAAACATTCACACTTCTTTCCCATTCTCTCCTACACCCCTTTCTCAAGGACTACATAATTGCATCGTGTAGGCAGAGGGGTATACAATCTAATATTGACTCTTGTTAACTAATTTTTGTACTATCTTTTACACTGCAACCTATATTCTGGTTATCCCTAGGAGTAATAGCATGATCATGCTGAATCTCAGGGATTCTTCTGATAACTTTCTGCAAACTGCCTGCTTGATGCATCCAATGGCTCGAAAGACTGTTCCTTCCTGCTAACCATAGAAGGGTGATTGGCAGAGTTATAGTTGCTTAGCTAACCATTACACTGCATTCATATATACATTACAAGATATTATTACGTTTAAAATTTTTCTCTACAATACCTCCTCCTGCACCTCATTCCCCAACCCCAACCTCCATTCTGCACCCAAACTCCCAGACCCTGCACCCCCTCGGTAGAAATGCGGCCCTTGACCACTTGGCAAAATCTTGGAGTAGCACGCCCCCCCCCCCCCCCCCCACTGCCCACCCCTGATCCACAAGCTGTATCTGTGGAAAGTGATCAAATAAATTTGATGCAGGAACAGTATAGATAACAAGGCTACTCACACCTAATTAAGGGTGCACATATAATTGCAGAATTAGAGACCTCATGGATGTACATTTCTGTGCTAGCCTGCAGCAAGATCCACGGTGCTAACTTCTGTGTAACAACTAGACTGGCGAATCTGCTGTGGAAGATTCAGGAACATGTCCAATGAGAGAGAGAGAAGGTTAAAGTGTGCCACCTTACTGGTGATCATTTTAGATTAATTTCTTTAACTTATTTTTGGATGTTTGCTTTAGCAGTTCAGTTACACATTATGGGTGTGAGATCATATGTATAATATATTAAAGATATAAATTAAATCCTAAGGTAGTGATAAGAAGAAAGCATTCTGTCCTTGCTTTTATAGTAGAGATATAAGCAAGTAGTCAACTAATTGATAATCCTAGACTTATCTATTAAACTAGTCAACTGCTCACATTCTCCCCTGAGCCCCCCACTCTGTATCAGAGGCAGCTGGGGGGAAGGAGCTTCTCCCCTCCACCCCCAGCACTATCTCCATGGTTTTACTTGTCCCACCCTGCCCCCCTGCTGCTGCCTCTTTGTAGGACTGGAGCCATTGCTTTAGTCACCAGAACTGCTTGATGGAATTACAGGTTCATATGGAGGTACAATACTGAGCCCCTGCAGACACTGGCTACTGGACCTGGCGTGAATTGAGACTGAGAAAGCCTGGCTCAGTCGCACCTCGTGCTGAGTCCAGGAGCTGGACCTGCTGTAACTCTGCAGTTTAAATGTAGTATGAGCCAAGCTGCCTGCCCGTCTGGTTCTTATGACATTTAAACTGCAGAACCGCAGTGGGGGGTATCTCCTGAGGTTAACTTCTCTTATTGACTAATTGTGTAGTTGCTTTTGCCAATTCCAATTAACAGCTTCTCCCCTCCACCCCCAGCACTATCTCCATGGTTTTACTTGTCCCACCCTGCCCCCCTGCTGCTGCCAGGAGAAGAGGAAGCAGGAGCTTCTCCCCTCCACCCCCACCACAAGGTTTTGCTTGTCCCACCCTGCCCCCCTGCTGCTGCCTCTTATCAGAGGCAGCAGTGGGGGGGCAGGGGAGGCCACCTTGAAGCAGCCTTTGCCGGGGCTGCCTCAGCCTCCCAGGGAGCAGCCCCTGTTTGCAGCAACCTGGGCTGGCTGCGGACAGAAGATGCTCTGGCAGCAACCCCTGTCTGGGAGGGTCCTGGTTTGCCTGGGACCTACCCCCCACTGTAGCTCTGCTGTTTTAAATGTAGTAAGAACCAGGTGGGCTGCCCAACTCTTACTACATTTAAACTGCAGAGCCACAAGGGAGGTTAACTTCTCTTATTGACTAATTGTGTAGTTGATCCATAACATTTTTATTGGCTACATGATTATCAAATTATCCGCTTCTTAACATCCCTATTTCATATCAACCAATCCTACAATTGATTCTTTGTAGGACTGGAGCCATTGCTTTAAGCTGTGGAAGATTCAGGAACATGTCCAATGAGAGAGAGAGAAGGTTAAAGTGTGCCACCTTACTGGTGATCATTTTAGATTAATTTCTTTAACTTATTTTTGGATGTTTGCTTTAGCAGTTCAGTTACCTGTTTGCAGCAACCTGGGCTGGCTGCGGACAGAAGATGCTCTGGCAGCAACCCCTGTCTGGGAGGGTCCTGGTTTGCCTGGGACCTACCCCCCACTGTAGCTCTGCTGTTTTAAATGTAGTAAGAACCAGGTGGGCTGCCCAACTCTTACTACATTTAAACTGCAGAGCCACAAGGGAGGTTAACTTCTCTTATTGACTAATTGTGTAGTTGATCCATAACATTTTTATTGGCTACATGATTATCAAATTATCCGCTTCTTAACATCCCTATTTCATATCAACCAATCCTACAATTGATTCTTTGTAGGACTGGAGCCATTGCTTTAGTCACCAGAACTGCTTGATGGAATTACAGGTTCATATGGAGGTACAATACTGCTTTATATTTTAGAGTTTAAATCGTAGTTCTATTAAAATAGGTGTGTTTGGTCCTGTATTTTAATATTATTACTTTGACTGTTTTTCTTTAGGTTTTGCAGGATGGCTGGGTGGCATGGCAATTAATATCTCTTCTGATCACATTCTCAGAAATCTGAGAGAACCAGGAGAAACAGGCTACAAAATACCGAGAGGTAAGTAAAATGTTAAGGAATTTAAAATTGCAAAAGAATGTCTCAACTTGGTTCTGTAGTATTTAAAGGTCTTAGCATGTATCAGGAAAAGGAATCCAACGGTAAGAATTTTCCAATGTATTTCCTGAAACAAGAGATTGGCTTATTACTCTAAACAAAGAAACTGTCTGATAAACAGTTATCTGTGCAATTGCCTGAGAGTAGAAGGCTACTTCTGTAGGATCTAGTCCTAGAACAAGACCTGTTATACTTTATGCTCTGCAGTTTTTTAAGATACTTGTCTTATACACAACTTTCTCTGTCCTTTTCCACTGAATTTTGTAACCATCCTTTGCATCCATTTTGCAGTCTTTCCTTTGGCAGTCGTTCTTCTTTCTTTAATTTGAGATTACCCACTAATGTTGACAATTGTGAATAAAAGCACCCACACAAGAGTTGTTTGTAGGCTTACTATGAAACAATAAACATAAAGAGGTTAACTTCTGTGGAAGGAGGCTATTTTTACAAATGTATTTACCTAAATAAAATCAACAACTTTAAACCAACATGTAATGTAAGAATTTTTGTCAAATGTCAAGCACAGCATTTACACATCTCTTGTACTTTTCTGATACCAGTTTTATTTTTCATACTTAAAAAAAACTGTTACTTTTGTCCCTGACTTTTTACTTCCTTAAACTTAATAGCCTTTGCTCATCTGAGGACTCTTACTGAACACAGAGGAGCTATCGGAGTCAGTGCGCCTCTAAATGAATATGGACACTGGAACCCTTTGATTTATTTTACTTATATAATACATCTTTGCTCTTAAGGGGGCAGTCCATTTTGTTAAGGCTGGGTTACATAAAAATCACTGTCAGGTGGGGAAAAATATTTCCCATTGTGAAATAATTCCTGTAGAATACACTAGTAACTCTGCAATTATACAACTGCAAGAATAGAAAGGAAAAACTGCATTTTGTAGTAGTGTTTATAGTTTTTAAGGAATCAGCCAAGTGTTGCATAATTTTTTATAACCATTACGATAGCAATGACAGCTTGTCCTAGGCACTCAAGATATTTTGTATGATTGCTTGCAAAGTCACATGGTAAATTATTATAGGTGCTTTGAAGTCCTTGATCATCCTTATACATCTCCTTGCAAAAATATATTTCAGAAGGCTTTTCATTCTCCATAAGAGCCACTGTATCAACATAACTGATATCTACAAGACTTCATCATTATGAATGTAGATATGCTTGTTAGTATTGGAGGGGAAAAACTTAGGCCATTTCCTGCTCTTATATCATATGTTGCACCATTATGAATGTAGATATGCTTGTTAGCCTTGGAGGGGAAAAACTTAGGCCATTTCCTGCTCTTATTACTACAGGGAGTAGTCTCACTAAAATAAGAGGAGTCAAGACTCCAGCATGCACACAAATATGAATAATTCAACCATTTTAGAAGTTTTTACGTATGAAAATACTTTTTTATGGATGAGCAGTCAGCCTTTTTCAGTTTAAAATAGTGGTATGTGTAAGCACAAAAGTGCTTCCTGAAACCACTTAACTTATTTTGTCCATACTTTAGTAATTTAAGAAAATTGAGATTTCAGATCTGTTTACCCCAAAATAAGCCCATTCATAGTAGAAACCTAGTAAACAAGTAATTATCTCACCACAAATGTGATTTTTAAAGGAAACCTAGCCAGTTGTTTCTGATGGAAACATTACTGAGTTATAGTTCATTATAACTTTTCTTGTACACAGTGATAATAGTGTGTTATGTTCTTCAGGAGGGTTGTTTGAATATGTAACTGGAGCTAACTTTTTTGGAGAGGTCCTTGAATGGTTTGGATTTGCTCTCGCCAGCTGCACCATTGAAAGTGTTGCTTTTGCCATATGCACACTTTGTATCCTTGGTCCCAGGGCACATCAACATCATAAGTAAGTTTTTGACATTTTAAAATTTTATTCTCCTCTTCACTTTTTTTCTCTAAGTCATTTACTATTGAATCTCAAATTCTATGGTGTAAAAATATTTCTAGAGCAGAGGCGGCCAACCCATTTAACAAAAAGAGAGCCAAAACAGCGGTGGAAAAAATGTGAAGAGCCGCACCAGAATTGTCAAGCAAGAAAAGTCCCCCAGAACAGGATTGTCAAGCAAAAACAACACAAAGTTTGATTGGTTTTTTTTTTTAAAGAGGCTGCCCCTTTTAAGATGGCTGCCATCTTGCGTGCTGTTTTTAAAAGCCGGCAGCAGTTTGTTTGATTGTTTTTTTTTAAAGAGGCTGCCCCTTTAAGATGGCTGCCATCTTGCGTGCTGTTTTTAAAAGCCCGCAGCTCTGACCTGGTAAGCACAGGGGCGCCAGCGGGGGCCAGCAGAGTGCAGGAGTGGCTTCGGGAGCCACACTTTTGGGGGACAATAGCTGCAGGTTGGTGGCCACGGCTGGTCTAGAACACAGAAAAGAGTTAAACATGACATCTAGTTGTAAAGCTGATTAATTAGGTGTGGAGGATAGATCAAAAGGGTGGCTTGACAGTTTCCCTTCCTCTTAAGGAATTCTGAAATTCCTGGAATAATGGATTTATAATGGTACCAAAGGCACGATGGCAATGGGCCTATTCAAGGCAGGCCCCCGCCCAGCTCACTCCCAATCTTCTGCAACCTAGTGGAGGCAGCACAGGCTCTCCTCTCCAGCCCCTTCCTGTGCTCCTTGCTGGCCTACCTGGAGCTTCTCCTTGCCCCTCTTCCCCCTCACACTCACTCACTCCCACCCCCCCACCCCTGTTTGGCTTCTTTGTCAACTTTTTTGTCTGAGTTCTCCTCTCTTCACACCTGCTCCCACTGCATCCTCACATCAGCATGCAGTCAGCCTCATGGCAAATGGAGACTGATGGAGGAACCCCAGTGCTTCCAGCTCCCCAAGGTCAGGAAGCCTGAAGCCTTGGTCCGAAGTGGAGCAGATGGATTCCCTACTGCCATTGGGCTCTGTTTGCAGCAGCAGAGGAAGGGGCAGTGGGGTGGGATGTCAGGATCCCGAGCCACTCGCACTGTATTGGCAACAGATATGAGTCAGGGAGGGTAGGAGGGCACCATTTTGGGGGTTCCCCCAGATAATGTGGTAGGAACAGGGTTCCCTGTGCTGCCATGGGTGAGCACATATTACTTCAAACTACTTGGCATCCTTGCATACAGTGAGGACCTGGATCTTCAATTTTACAAAATTAAGTGGTAAGAAATCAACCTTAATAAATTTGACCTTATCTCCTAGTGTAGACTAGAGTAATATAGTATTATTCTAACCTGTCAGTCTTTCCGCATGCTGTTTCTTGTTGTGCCTCTAAGTGGGTGGATTTTAGCTTTCATCATCCACAATTGATATTTTGTATCTATCTTGTAATGGAATCTGGACACGTGATACATTATCCATTTTTTATGATGGGCCACCTACTTGCTCTGGTTCTACACAGACAGCTTTCATTTTATTTCACCATTGTTGGCAATAATAGGTTTGTTTTAATTTTTGTAGTCAGTACTCTGCTCTCATAAGGATGGTATGATAATTTTTAAAACAAGTTATTTACATAGACTGAGACTTGGAGAGGTCTCTTTGTAGATTAATCCACTTATATTTTTATAAATGTGGTGGTGAGGGGGGTGGTTCTGGCAGTTTTCTACAATAAGTAGTTTTGGTTTTTTTTTTTCCCAGATGGTATCATGAGAAATTTGAAGACTACCCGAAGTCCAGGAAGATTTTGATTCCATTTGTGCTCTGAAGTGTGTGTTGGCTGATTTTAAATGATGGGGGTTGCTATTCTGAAAATATTCACTTCACAAACCGCTTAGTCTTTTTCTGAACATTATGACAGACTCTAATTCAGTGCCAGTTATGTTTGGTGCCTAACATAAAATACAGCTAATGGACTAGGTCAGTGTTTTCCAACTTTATTTGGCCACGGAACCCTTTTAAACTCGAAAGAATTTTGCAGAACCCCCAATAACAGCCTAATATATGGACATCAGCGCTGAGTAGTGATATTATCATCCCCACTCTATGGCTAAGATGGCATTACACAGGGACACTTATCATGGCAAACACAAATGAAAAATTGTTTTCAATAAAATTCATAAATGCTTACATATTAATTATTTTTGTAAATCATAAAATATTGTAATGGAATTTTCTTGCTGAACCCTTATTTTCACTTTGCGGAACTGCAGGGTTCTGCGGAATACCATTTGGGAAACACTGGATTAGGTGATACTGACAGAAGAGTCAGACATCCTGTTCCTATTTGGAGTACAGTGTAATAAATGCCTTAGTAAAATCACATCTTCATAATTGGAACTACAGTGGCGGCTATACCACTTCCTATTCTACGTCTGCCTGTTACTGTTTCTGCCTAAGCCAGGCACAGTGCCTCCAAGAGCTCCTGGGGAGTGCAGCCACCCATATTGTACCACTTCAGTGCACAGTGCTTCTGCACTATCCTGCCTCAGAGGACTGACTTGCTTCACTCCCACTCTGTATAAAATCTAGTGCTAGTAGTATCACAGATTGTAGTTCTTGTATTCAATATTATGTCTAGCCCAGGGCCAAGAGTTAGTGGTGAGAGCCACCCTCAGCCTCTCTTAAATAGAGGCCTAATTGGATTTTTAAATAGGAACTATAAAAGTAAATGGAATTCTTAAATAGTGGTTAAAGATCCCTTTTCTTCTCGACTGCTCAGTTTTCAGTCTCCTCCTTTCTCTTGTGGTGATCCTACTTCTCCAGTCACCATAGCCTTCCTGTAGATGTGCTGAATCTTAAATGCAAAAAAGAAGCAGAAAATGTTTTAACTAGTTTTGTTTTCCTTTATATAAATCCTAATGAAAGGCACAAGCCAAATTTTTCCTTTGTGTGGGGTGAGAGGAGGGTTGTTTTTGTTTTCCCTTAAATATTCTCAATATGCCTGGACACTTTTTAGACCTTAAATGTATTGCCTTCTTTAAAGCCTACTCTTAACTTCAACATCATTTGAGACTACTAGCCTCCCATTTCTGACGAGCAAATTAGGCTTTACCCACCCATACTGAAATTAAGCTCCCACACTATCTCCTTCCCTCAGACAGCTTTGCTGTCATTTTTAAATTTTGGTAGGTGGTTAATATAAACTTTTAAAATTCTGTTTCTTTCCTAGTAGGTTCTATGCTTGACATTTTAAGCTAGAGAGTGGGGAGAAGGAACAAAACCATTTTTTGAAAGTTTTACTCATTGTATGAGGAACTCTTTAAAATTGAATGGCTCATTGGACTTCATTGTATTTAAGTAGGAGTGCAAAGTGATGGGAAAATGTTCATACAGGCAGTCCCCGGGTTACGTACAAGATAGGGACTGTAGGTTTGTTCTCAAGTTGAATCTGTATGTAAGTCGGAACTGGCGTCAGCCGCTGCTGAAACTGATCAGTTTCAACCGCGGCTGAATCTGGACGCCAGTTCTGACTT